CTAAAATGTGAGCTTTTTACCAAACCACTAGACATGCATGTTATTTTTCTTTAATTTTTTTTTTCTTATTTTAAACTTTAGTTAAGATGTAATCATGACACCATGCTGCGAAAATGTAAATTATTTCATATAAGATAATGAATATATCGTTACAATAGTAGGAAAAAATTCAAGCCGCTTTACTTTCTAATAGACTTTATGATGTCGGACGTGAATTTGAAAGCTAATTTAAGAAAATATGAAAAAGGGAAAAATCTTCACCCAACGAAAACCAATATCCGTTACCCAACTATTCCTTTCTTAGCTAGTGTTTTTTTTTTCTTTTAAATACTCGTAGTATTTAAGAAAGTATTGTGGGACTTGGAGAACAATTTCCACAACATCACAATCCACAAAAGCAAGTGGTTTCTGACCCAGAACCACCACGTAATAGCTTTGTTTGAAGGATCCACAAACCGATCGAAAAAGTGTGCATGCATGCATGGTATTTTTCACCACGTAAGAGAAAAAGTGTGCATATTTTCCAGCATTTTCTCAGCAACCAAACAGGAAAAAGGAAGAAACAAAGTAAGGAAGCAGAGACAAGAAAAACTCACTGGGTCATCCGTAACCGGTGATGCTGTGTGAAAAACGCCATCACAGCCGTTGATGGCTTCTTTAAGGCTCTCATAGTCAAGAAGATCAGCTTTACGTAAAGTCAACCTATCTTGAGCTCCTTCAAGCTCCCTCAAATGAGCATTCTTTGGATCATCTGTGATCAACCCAAAATAAGAAAAGCACCAAAAAGGAAAAAAAACATATCAATACAAGGAAGAATTATGTCAGCCCCACAACATAACATGTCGATACTCCGAATGTAAGCCGAAAAAACAACTCAGAGGCCAAGAAGATAATGATTTGGAGTGACCTGGGTTTCTCAAGGTTCCCCTAACAATATAGCCTCTTTCTAGCGATAGTTTGACAATCCAGGAAGCGATGAAGCCTCCAGCTCCGGTGACACATACAGTTTGGCCATGGCCTGAAACTGAAGAGCTATCGGCAGGCATCTTAATACTTAGCTTGGTTTTAGGGTAATGAATTTTTTTTGTTTCTCTTTTGGGTGGTGGGAGTGGAAGAG